TTTTAAACAACTGGTTGGCAGGCATAACAATATATTATGGTGTCTCAAAACAAAACCTAAACCGCTATCTGAACTATGGCTAGAGTTGGAATCTTGCTGACTAGATCTCACTTGGCAACTGAGTGGCGCCTTAAAAAATTGGGTCCTTTTTTGAGCTTTTTTGAAGCCTTCTGATTCCAATAATACTGTTTTAACCCTACAAAATTATTTCCTTGCACATTTAATAGACTAGAGAAAAGACTAGAGGCCACCACCTGAAACTGGTAGAAAAAAAATTCAAACACAAGGGGCGAAGGGGATTCTTCTCAGTTCGAGCGGTTAGGGTCTGGAACTCGTTGCCACAAGCAGTGATTTCAGCTAATAGTGTGGAATCGTTCAAGAAGCTTTTGGACGATTTCCTGAGAAACGGTAATATACAGGTTGTACAAGTACTCCTAAAAACGAGATGACTCGGGGATCTTTACACACACACACACACACACAATAGGTTGGACTTGATGGACATGTGTCTTTATTCAACCTCAAATACTATGTAACTATGTAACTATGTAATAAAGTTGTTCATTCTTATGTTTTGCACTGTTAGGACTGAGTGAGTTAAAAACATGACAATTCAAGAATCACTGGACAGGATGTTAGGGGCCCATTCAAACTTGTGCATTGCAGCAAACGTCTGTTTTATTGAGCTCCTGGCTGAAAATCCTGCAATATCGGACACTTCTGGGAAGTGGTGGATTCCTGGTCCCCCGCTGTGCTCAGTGGTTCAATTCACTTGCCTCTACATTACTACTGTGTTGTTGTGACAAAAAGTATGGCAGCAGGAACCACATAGTGCGGTGATGGACCAGGACATTGTCACTGATGGTCTAGAATTCGTAGGATTTTTAGCCCCATTGGGTTCGGTGGAGCTGGTAATGGGAGGTGAGTATTCAATGTTTTATTTGCAGAGGACAGTTTGCTTTGGATATTTATTTTAGCAACAGATTTGATTGTAGGACAGTGACTGAGTATTTAGCATTCTGGCCTGTAGTACTTTAAAGCCCATCAAAACTATTGTCTGTATGGTCTGTCTCTTTTTGTGGGTTGCTACTAGGTGCTCCAGTTGAGCCTAAACCAATGATAGTAGGTTATAAATAAAATTGTCCATAGTTTTTGCACTTGTAAGGTTATAGTAGAAACCAGTGGGGCTAGAAATGCAACCTAATAGTGCTTAGTGTGCAGCCCACTGTACTCGAGACTTCTTCCACTTGGGAAAATGGAGCTGTGTCTTGTGGGTCCCAGTGGGGTTTATCTGCTAGAACCACCAGCGGTTTAGCATTTATTATGCATAAATTGAATATTCACTGCTAAGCTGCAGTATTACATTGCTTTTAAAAATATAAATAGACAATTTATAAAACTAAGCTATTGTATTGCCTTCTGGACAGGTCATATTTTTTGAATTGACCACAACAACATTACACTGTAAGCTCCTATGAGAACAAATACTATTGTGTATGGTTCTGTATACCGTGTTAATGTTCAATATGTGGTGATATATAACTGCAGAGAAGAAATAATAAAATGAGATCACCTCAGTCATATATTAATGGCGTATTCCTGTACGTATCTGGAAGACAACAGTAAATTGAGCTCACTATGGTTAAAAAAAATAGCATTTATTGTTTTTTTTCCCGACATGAGACTTTGACACATTGCATCCATTAAGCATAGTGTCAGGGACGCCAAACATCTCACCCTAAATTTCACTCCTTTGTTAAATTGGCTGCATGTTGTCAGATGCTGTAGCCAGTCTTCAGACATTATGTAATACAACAGATAATGTGTGTGTGATCTCATGCAATGCTTGACTTCACCGCAATAAGACACTCTGATGTATTTAGACTCTTAATGGCTCTTTTCTAATTTGGAAGCCAGTCTTTTAATATGATTTAGGCTGTTCGTTTTACTCAGTATCATAGAATGACATTGTTGGCTCACAGGCAAACACTGCAGTACCCAGTAACCCTTACTAGGCCAGATGTATTGGGACAAAGCTTTGTTAATACAGTTTCCAGCCCTGCAGCATTTCTTTGGAGCTCACACGGCTTCTTTGATATATGTCTCTATTAACAATATCTATTTGTTGTAATCATCCAGAGTAAATGTATGGGAAAAAAGTGATGGATTATAGATCATGGCTTCGGGTACAGTCTATTCCCATAAATATAGAACATATGCCAAACTGTATATGTTTTCCATCAGTAGCACATTCACACATCATTTTACAGGTGTTCTTATGTTTAGGAAAAGATTTAATAAAAGAGATTGCATCTGATCCTATTAAAATTTGCAGTGGTGCTTTGTTAGAAATGTAATACCTTGAATTCCACTACCTACGGCATGAATGGCCACATTTTTTAAACCTAATACAATTTTAAAACACTACCCTTTATGGGGGGACATATATACTTTTTTGGGTCCACTTGTCTCTAACCAGAAAGTTCTAAGCTATAGGGCAGTCTGAGTTTGGGGTTGTGCCCCATACACATGCACATGTTTACAAAAGTCCAGCCTACAATGTGTTTGTGAGAAAATATTAGTTTCTTTATTTATTCATACTTATGTGGCTATAAATAACTACTGAATTGGGTTAATTTACTAAAGGAGTTAAGAATCTTCATCAAATGCAATCTGTGAATAATTACTTCAATTATCCAATCATATGAAAAGCAAATTAATTTTTACTTTGAATATCCCATCACATGCAAATGAAATAAACACACAGGAATTTTATTTTCACATGACTGGATCATTTAGGTAAATATTCACAATTTGTAGTGTGGAGATTATCAACTCCTTTGGTAAATCAGCTTTAATATGCCCCTCTTTCCTTAACAGCCAGTAAGATCCTTCATTTTTACAGTGACACTAAACTCAGGAGTTAAATCTTAAAAATGCATTCAAGTACCTTAACTATTAACAAAAATGTAGCTTATTTGTGCATCACTCGGCTGTAGATCCTCAAATCATCTCTGAAATCATGCTGGAACTGGCTACTTTTGTTTCCCATGGTCCCTGTGTGTGTGTTGTAAGGTAGCCATCACTCCAGGCTCACACCCGTGATGGACTACAATTTCACATTTAGTTTACTAATTTGTATTGAGATTATAGTCCATCAAGGGAGTGAGCTTGGAGCCGTAGCTACTTTACAACACACACAGGGACCATGGGGAACAAAAGTAGCCACCCTCCAGAAGGAAGGACAGTGTCAGCACCAATTCAGAGATTATTTGAAGATATGTAGCTAAGTGATACACAAATAAGATACATTTTTGTTGATAGTTAAGACACTTAAATGCATTTTTAAGATTTAACTCCTGAGTTTAATGTCACTTTAAAGGAGAACTATGGGGTTAGGGCTTTTCCCCGTAGTTCTCCTTAGGATAACGGGAGGACACAAAACTTGTGTCCTCCCGTCACCCTAGGCTCAGTATACTGAGATGCCGCAGCTGAAGCGGATCCCGAAAAATTATGTCTGGATCCACCCAGCTGCGTGAGTGACAGCTGGCTCTGCCTATCTAGAGGCAGAGCCAGCTGTACCCGCCCACTACCCCGTCCGTTCCGCCAGTCAGCGCCAGTCAGAGGGGTAATCCAGCCCCTCCTCTGTCACGGCAGAGAGCCGTGACAGGATCGAGAGGTGAGCGAACGCCGGTATGTGTTCGCTCACCTCCCGATCTACTAAGCCGACCTGTAACAGTCTCATTGTCACAGGTTGGCTAGAACTATGAGGTGAGTGAAAAGCACTCACCTCATAGTTCTCCTTTAATTCTAAACTTTCACTACTTAGTTATACAGGTCCTATGGTTATTTCAACATATGGCATTACCATCATTTTACTGGTCACATAACCCGTGTGATTCATTCACATTCTCATTAAACTGGATTAAATTGACTAAGAAAAAAATGCCTGAATGGGTGAAATAAGTCTACTTGATGAGAATCCCCAAATGGCCGATGGAGGCAAACACCTTGCAGCATTTTACATTTCTAAGGGATTCATGTGGCAAAATATCTGTACTTGATTCTCCAGGTCTGTACATTTGCAATGGCCATTACAAGGGGCTTCACTTTACCCATTTAATTTTAAATGGCACGTAAGTATAATATAGGGGCAAAGTGGAAACAATGAAACATAGGCGGAAATTCTCCACATGCGGGAAAGCGCCAGATATATGGCAGTGATCTTTCATCACTGGAGTCCCCAAGTTATATAAGAATCCCCATGAAACTTTCAGTTTCAATGAACTAAATACATTCCAGGTGTTTGTTTTCTTTAAAAATGAGTCACAGCCTGAGTAGAAAATCATCTGTCCTGCCAGCATGTGACAAAATAGGACCCTTGCTCTTTGTGGGGAAGCACTGGTCTCTTTGCAGAGGTCCAACACACAACCTGCTGAGTCAGAACCAGAGCTCTCAGTTGGGTTCATGAGCGTTGTTGACTGAAGAGCTATATGTCTCTCTCAGCAAGGAGTTAGTCTGACCTCTGCACAGTGACCACTGCGTTCACACAGAGAGCATGGGTCCCTTATCTGCAGCTGCTGACAAGGGACAGTCTTTTCTGCTCAGGCTGTGGCTGCTTTAGAAAATGAATTGTAAGACATTGAAGACCTTTTGATTTTAAGCACCTGGAATGTATTTAGCTAGTTTAAACTGAAGGTTTAATTGGGCTTTAATTATTCTCTGTGTCCATATTGTCAGTATCTTCTAATTACGAAAATTTTGACCTTGCATATATTTTCACTAAAGAAGGTCATATGTACATATATATAACTATACAAGGACTCTTATGTAAGTATAGCAATGCATGATTTACTACTGCTGTATAATGAATTTTCACATGCATTAGTAATTCATATTTATTAATGTCTCTTTTCTAAAGAACTGAGAGCCCTCCAGCAGTGCTTTGGAAATATATTGCTTGTCAAGGAAGTATGCTACACTAATAGCATCAGACTTACTTGTAGCCAAGCTGCCGACACACAACAGACGCATCTTTATCGGACCATCCATCATCACAGATTGTCCCCCACTGGCCATTGAGATAAATCTCCACACGCCCCTCTTTCTTTGTTTCACCATCCATCAACCTCAGAGGATTACCTGGAACAACAGCAGCAGTGAGATAAAGACAAAGGGACACAGAGCACAGACCTCATTTACAGAGGACAAATGTGTGAGGTCATATCATAATTACACAGCTCTCTAAAGATGCTTTAACTGAATAGCATATTGTAATTAGAAATATTCTTTTAAATGCTAAGCACTTTTCAGCTATCTATATCTAGCAAAAACAATATATTTTTTTTTATTCCAATACTAAAGTAGAGCTAAAACTTAGTTTTGTGAAGAAGTAAGTAAAAAAGGATAACTTTTTTGTTTGTTAAAAAAAGCTTTTCTATTACTTTGCTAGATGAAGAGCAATGGTTTACTATAGAGACTATGGCTGACCATGGCAACTTACTGTGCATTAACACACCTGCTCACGGTCCAACTCAGGAGCATCTAGGAAAGGATGACAACACTGCAGCTGAATTGAGTTAGTATTGTCACCCTAGGAAAGAAAGTGCCTATAGAAAGATGGCTTAATGGCAGCATCGGGTATGATTTAACTGAAAGCAGGAAATAAAAATAAAGTTTTTGATATCACAGGAACATGTGCAGCAACATAACAGCTTTAAAGTATAACTTCACTTTTGTTGAAAAGAAAAACTGTTGAACCAGTCCATCACAGGGACTGGGGCAGGGACCCCTTGTTCCAGAGGTCTGTAATGGCTGCATAGAGGTCTGTTAATCTCTACAATGACCAAGGTACATTGAGGACAAGAACAAAAAAGGGGGCTGAGAGCGGAAATCTAGCACACTGGAAACCACCTTCTGGACTTAGGCATCTGAGATGCTGGCTGCCCAAATTCCCACTTGCAAAATGGGGGATACCCCTACATGTTAAGGAAGATGTAACTGAGGCTTGGGAAACTGAGAAGTCCAAGGTTTATGGATGAAATGGGGTTCAGGCTTGGGCTTGATTATGGAGTCGGAGGCTTGTGAGTGATGAAAGGAACCTGTCTTGACTTTCTGAAAGGTAAGAAACTTTCCTTGGCAGAGTCCTAGACTTGTTCTGATGGGGTAGATGGTACTCTTACTTCCAGTGGCACCATTTATGAGGGTGGCCAGGAAAACGCTGAAAAGATACTGTCCCTCGAGGAGCAAGCTAGTGAGATGCTGCTCACTAGCTGGTTCTGCCGCCCAACACAATAACCAGAGAGAGCTCTTAATGTTCACTGAAAAGAGACCCATGCAGGAAATTAGAGAGGTATCCATTTCAATCTGTAAACAGAGTAGCTAAAGACTGCAGACATGATATTCAAATGTTTTATGAGCAGGGGGTCAGTCAGTTGAGTCTGGCAGACAGGACTCCAGCCAAGGTTATTGCACAGTAGGATTTTCCAATGAGACAAGGTCTTTGAAAGAAGAGAGAGGAGCAGGGCATAGAAGATATGGTCTAGAAACGTTGTTCAAGTTTTCTAGATCATATCTCTTGCCTCTATCTTCTGTTGTGTTTCTGGGACTGGAAATAAAGGGAAATCTCCCAAATGACAACACACACAGTAATAGGAGTCTGACAGGGGTTTTAACCTTTCCCATCCTATCCAAAAATAGTTTGGGTTGGAATTATGCTTTGTTGATTTCTGGTATATATTAGTCCATCTAAACTGTATATTTTATTCATACGTCAACAGTGATGGGATGAATTTCTCAATGATATTTTATATGTCTTGAGGATTCCAAAAGTAACAGCTCCCTGTTGCTTTTCAAACCAGCCGAACTCCATGGGTCTTCATGCATAAAATCAAACTTTATTGTCAAAAATCTTCCAGTATAGATCATCAAACCACTCCCCATGTGCAAACTGCTTACGCGTTTCACCCCTTGGGCTTATGATTACGTCCATGCGTTGAAACACGTAAGAGGTTTGCACATGGGGGAATAGTTTGATGGTGTATACTGGATTATTTTTGACAATAAAGATTGATTTTATGCATGAAGACCTGTGGAGTGCGGCTGCTTTGAAGATTTACTTATGGGAAGTGAGAATGTACTTTGAGCCGGCACCTGGCACCTGGGATTTAAGTGGTGGGAGTCTTGGCAGCTCCCTGTTGCTGTTTCCATTTGACTTCATCTTTACAAAGGTATTTTGCTGAGGTATGAGGAGTTTTAAGGCTAGTGATATATTCACCATAATGAAAATAAAATAAGAAATGTTAAACTGAGAAAGTAAGCCTTCCTCATCATGGCTTCAGCAGGTGGGAAAAACTGGAAACTGCAAAGATTTTCTACTTGGAATTCCAAAGAACATAAGACTCAAGGCAGTCAATTCGACAGCATCTTGCATTTAAAGTAATTTATTAATTACTAAGTAGTGAGTTTTTGGTATATTAAGTAAAAATGCTCAATTACTTGAAATTAGGGATGAGCTCCTCGAACCTGGAAGCTACATGGGAGCATCTGCCTATTCAGCTACGGGGCAGGGCATCCCCATCCTGCAGCTGCACATAAATAAACAGGGGGGATGTTTGTGCTGACGTCATTGATCTTATATGGCCACATGGCCATATTAGAACAATGTCATTGACCAAATATAGCCATTTGTCCATATAAGGTCAATTGCATCACTGTAACATTTACTTATGCGCAGCTGCTGGCAAGGAATTGCCTGGCTGCAGCTGACTGGGTGGCAGAAATAGGAGCTTCCTTCCGTGTTCAGATAAGCGTAAGTCCTGAGCTCATCTCTACTTGAAATGGCTTGGGAAATTTGGAAAATGTGTTTTGACATACAATATAAAAATGTTTAAGAACATTTTTTTTCACAGATTACTAATCCTGAATAAGTAACATATGTCTATCACATACTTTTAAGTAACATATGCCTATCACTCTCCTTGTATTCTAATGCTTCAAAATTAACAAGAATGTATATATTTACATGTTCACACTAATATACTACAATACATAGCCAAAAGTTTGTGGGCACCTGACTATCACGCCTACATTACATGGTCAAAAGTATGTGTTCAAACCCCTCCAAATCATTGGGTTATTTTTTTTTTTATTGTGAAGAGTAATGTTAATGATATAGCATACAAATAAAATATAGATAATTGTGCACTTCCATCCTTGTGGAAACAATCTGGGGAAAGCCCACGCTCATGTACAAGCCAACATGAGCGTGGGCTTGTACAAAGCCAGTTACAGAAAGGCATGGTTTAAAGGAGAACTATGGGGTTAAGTCTTTTCCCCATAGCTCTCCTTAGGGTAACGGAAAGACACAAGCTAGCGTCCTCCCGTCACCCTAGGCTCAGTATACCGTGAGCTGGTGCTTGCGGTATACTGAGACGGCGCAGCTGAAGCGGATCCTGACAATTGTGCCGGGATCCGCCCAGCTGCGTGACTGACAGCTGGCTCTGCCTATCTAGAGGCAGAGCCAGCTGTACCGGCCCCCTCCCCGTCCGTTCCGCCAGTCAGCGCTGGCGGATCGGTGCGGGGGAGGGGGGAATCCAGCCCCTCCCCTGTCACGGCAGAGTGCCGTGAAAGAATCGAGAGGTGAGCGAACGCCGGTATGTGTTCGCTCACCTCCCGATCTACTGAGCCGACCTGTGATAGTCTCATTGTCACAGGTCGGCTAGAACTATGAGGTGAGTGAAAAGCACTCACCTCACAGTTCTCCTTTAATGAGTTTGCTGTGGAAGAACTTGATGCACTGCACAGACCCAGACTTCATCCCTAATAAACACCTTTGGAGTAAACACCAATCGTGAGCTAGATATTCTCATCCAACATCTGTACCTGACCCAACAAATGTTCTTAGCAGAATGGGCACACACTCCAAAGTGTTACATAATGCCTTCCCAGAAGATTGGATGCTGTTAAAGGAGAATTATGGGGAGAGTGAAATACACTCTTCCCCATAATTAAAGGCAGATGTGCGACACTGAAGCTGTCACACTTTGGCTCTATAGAATGGGAAGTGAGCTATCCCATACCACTGATCACTCATTTCCCAATCTTCTTCAGCAGAGAGCAGTGACTGTCATCACCACTCCCCACAGGGATTCCCCCCTCCCCTCTCTGTTCCTCCAGTGCTGCCTGGAGGGATGGACGGGTAAGGGGGCAGACACAGCTGGCTCTGCCTATAGAGAGGCAGAGCCAGCTGACAATCAGCCAGGGTGTGGATCCCGACAATATTGACGGGATGCCTGTTATATGCTGGCTCTGCGCGGCCAGCATATAACAGGCAATAGCCTGCTATATGCTGAGTTTTGGGTCACAGGAGGACAAAGTGTCCTGTGATCCTTAAGAGAACTATGGGCAAAAAAGGTTGGCCCATAGTTCTCTTTTAAAGTTGCAAAGGGGGTTTGAATTATATAATATTCCATATTATTACCCATGGTTTTGGTATGGGATGTCCAACACGCTAATATCAGTGTGATGGTTAGGTGTCCACAAACCTTTGGACATATATAGCTTGATTTACTAATGGCAAATAAGATTCTCACAAGTGAGTTTTCACTTTGCAATGGAAATGTTAGTGAACGTGATGAGAATTAAAGACCCAGTCACATGTAAGGAAAAGAAAAGCCGCACTTTTGCTTGCACATGATGGGATGATGAAAGTCAACAGAGCATTACTTCATTCACTAAACTAAGAGAAAATCCAGGCTAGTCTTTAAGAAGCTTACATTTTTTCATTCACTGGAATATTTGCAGGTAGCTCTCTGAAGGCATTCACACAATTCAGGATGCATAGCAATCATGTTTATGAATTGTATCATACTCAACAGACTGATTAAATCTGCATGTAAATATTCATGCAATTCATTGATTGAATTAGTAGTGGTTTACAAAATGTTTCAATCATCACTATACTTATTAAATTTCCCCCATTGGTCATCTGCATCATTATGTGAAAAGTCAAATTATGCAATTTAAAGCTGAACTCCAGGAACACATCTAAATATGCAGATGCCATTCATATATGGGAGCTATTTTACTTTTTAGAGGATTTATTTTCCTGCCCATCTTGAGATTAACACAGATCTGCCACACAACACAATCCTGTCTGGAAGGGCAGCATACCTGATTTTTTCTCTCCCTCCCCCAGCAGGTGACAGGGCAGTGAAGGGAGAGGCAGCAGACTGATGAGCTCATCTCTCTGTCACTCTGCTCTTTCCTCCTATCAGTCATGCTACTTGTTAACACATGAGCATTTTAGTACAATTTACTGGCTCTTTGTGCTGTCTCTCCTATTTTGAGTTCTGCTGTATACCCCCTGCTGTATGCTGTATATTCTGTAGTTCTGCTGTTTTGCTGGGCTGCAACTAGGCCAAATTTAGGTACTTACACTGCTTGCAAAAAAATGAATTACATAAATAATATTAAGTATTTAGTGATGTATTAATGAAAACAAAGCTGCATCTATTTTGTGTCTCCTATACCAGTCTGAAGTTTAGCTTTAATTATTTACAAAAAAACATTTAAAATGTCTTATGTTTTAATGTCTTAAATGTCTTTATGTTTTAAAATGAAATGTCACAGATTATGTGTGCTTAGAATATAAGATCAGGGAGAGTACATTAAAAAACAGACAGCACATTTACCTTTTACCAGTTTTAATACTGTTTGTGAGGCTCAATATTTGTAAAAGGTTAAATGGCAATGAACAGTGCTTTGCATACAAAAATAACACTTGTAACATGTCTACAAAACGAACTATGACTATTTTTGTTGAATTTGCTTTAACAGTACAAATGGTGGGAAGAATTAAAACATGAGACGTTCTTGCTTTTGCATGACCTGGCATGATCCAACTTCAATTACAATTATCGGTTAAGTTAGCACAGATGGTTCATGTCTTTACGGAAAGTTTGCATATTTTGCTTCTATGAATACAGACAAGGGCCAGCTTTATTTATCAAAGTCACACTTAATTATTGCCCTTGTTACTCCTCTGGAAAGGGAAATCATTCATACTATAGCCAGACCAGTGGTAATCTGCAACTGGAGCGACAGGAACATCTGCAATTGCTATCTGCCTACGGGATAAACTAGAATAGTATTTCATTTTAGGAAACCAGCTGCAAAGTTCTGCATGATATGAGTCCACATGAGGCCATCAAATCATCAGCAGCTGCTCTTGAAAGGGATCTCACCTATTCTGTTATATTAAGATTTGCTGAAGAATTCCAGGAGGGCAAGGAACACTTCTAATTTGAAAGATCAGTAATTTAATACCAATAAGTGTGAAGCCAAGGTGCACTTATGGTTACTGTATGATAACATACATATTGAGTTAATTGAGCTCTAAGACAATATTTATAGAGCTATGTCTATCATTACAGAATAGGCAAGGTCCCATTTGGTGGCAGCTTGGGAGCTTTTTGTACATGACGTAATTGGAGGATAGGATAAATTGTCAGTCAGGCAGAAAATTGGCAGTCTACAACACTCTTGGGTCTGCTGTCTGAGTGTCAATCATTTATAGACCAGCTGTACTATTACCCTATGTTTGATTAATGGAAAATGTTTTGCTCAACCACTCATATAGGGATTTGGGAACCTTGGTTTTACTTGTAAGCTCATGGCCTGTTGACCAAATGTTACAATTCATGGAATTATTATTATTTTTTAAATATTTCATGAATTACTTTATTTAAATAAAGTTAGATATTAAACATATACTCCATAGATAATTTTAACATAATTTTTAACAATTGTATGAACATTACATTTCAAATAATGTGCAATATGCATTAGATAACATATACCTGCAACAAGTTTGTAGCTGTGACTTCAACAGCTCCATACTTGTCTACAGGACATCAAATAAATGATTCTTGAACCGGAAGAATCCTAATGGCACTCAATCAACTAGCATCTTCATAAAGAAGGTGGGAATGGTAGCATTGGCATTTCCCTCATAAGTTTCCCTTTAAAGGAGTATGTAAGCTGCCATTGCTGACTAGATATTGCAATTAATCCCTTCAGAGCCACTAATCCAAAACAAGTATAGTCATTTTTAAACCTGACATTTCTCCAATTTTAACCTGCTGAATGCTCAATTCACATCTTTGACTTGGGAAAAAAGTGGAAAAAGATGTATTAATAACATCATTAAATTATTTCATATGATGGTACAAAGTAATATGACTGAACACCATATCTTGTGATCTAATTTAGTAACTTTTTATAAAAGCTGTTATTATTTTTTTAGGGGATTTTAAATAATTACAGGACTAGGGTCCTAGATACAAATTAGAGATCCTGTCTATGTATACCATGTGGGTTCTTCCTGTGTTTCTGTGGCTTTCCTCCCATAATCCAAAACTACTGCCCTCTGACTAAATATTCCCAGATCTGAATTTCCTTCTATACTATGTCCAGTCCCATGCCTGTTGCTGGAAAAGGAGAAAAGAGGAGCACAGCCAACCATCCATATAAAGATTGACAATCCCTACCTGGCCAACATCTACTACAGTAGGGCCTCATAGTAAAATATTGATGGGGTGTCCCTGCAAACTCTCTCTGTGGCATTTGACACTGTCAAATTTTGACAATACATGTCACTGATCTCAGCTTAATATATGCTTAAATAAACAATGGCTAGAAGGAGAGCTGTCAGCATCGACAGTATACTACAAGGAACCAGTGCTGTGGATAGAAGATTCCAAGGAAAAGGATTGCAGCAGTGCAGGCTTTTAACTTTAGTTTTCCACCTACCCACTTAGTTCTTAGTAGATTACGAGTCCTATTCAGCATCAAACTATCTTTTTAGGTGTGTTTCAAGGCCTTGGTGCAAATTCTAAGCCTTCCTATCCTTTCCACTGCCACAGCAAGCAAGTGCTGAACACTGTGGTTTACTAGTCAGTGGAGAAAAACAGAGTATTAGCAGAAAAAATAATGAATAATAATATAAGTTTATATTATACAAATTGTCATGTAGACAACTCTAAAACCCTAAAATCTTTTGTAACTTTTTTTTCCTATAATACAAACCTCAGCTGCCTTGTTAGTCCCTAGCTAGCAAATTCTGAGCTGTACCTAATGCATTTTAGTTTGAATTGTCCAGGCTTGTAAAAAGTTCACCATAAAATAGTGCTCCATAATGTATTGAATAGTTAAAACCTTCAAGTTTTTTTTGTTTTTTTTTGCTACTTGCAAAAATAAAGGGAGATTTTCTTTCCTGTTACAGGGACAACTTAAACTCCTGGAATATTACCATTTTATCATCTGAATTATGTGCCTAAAACGTGTAATTACATTATCATTTCCTCAATGATATAAAGAAAATGAGCCCTAAGAAAAAAATTCAGAAAGCATTTTGCTGAACGCGAATACCTGATGGGTTACTATGGATTAGTGCATATTATTGCTCTTTGTGTGATGTTATAGAATAAAGGCCATTGCAACAATACTTTGCTTTTTCTCCATTTGCAAGGCTGGTTCTCAATATATTCAATTAAAATATCTCCGAACCACACATTTAATTAGCACCTGGCATAAGGAATATCAACTGAGGTTTCCAAACACTACTTATCTTAGTGCTTTATTCCTTTCTGCTTAGAAACAAAACCACAGAAACTGCCAAGGAATTGCTATTACTTTAAATTTCCTTGACAGCGCAAAATGGCAGCCAGCCAGAAACACAATGAATGGTAACATTAAGATGTCACCCTTAATATTCTTAGGCTCAACAGAAACTGCAATATAGGACAATTTATAATCACCCTGTCCCAGATGGTAAGAGAGACATAATTCAATATCCTTTGTTTCTTTTTCTTTTTTCTTTATTTTGTATGTAGGAGGCTAGGGCTATCATAGCATTAAGTAGTTTATAAACTTTTTAATTTATGATATATGTGAGTAAATTTTGATCCACTGATCATTTTGCCTGTTAATAAACATTGCTTTATTGATCATGTTCTCTTTGGCAGTGTTAAACCAGTCAATTGTTCATACTCTATAGTTATATAAGAAAAAGTCATTGCTATCATGGAGCAAACTGTGAACTTTGGCTTGGACCCAAACATTCTTGGAGGTGACCAATATATACATTTTCACAATTGAAGACACATTAAGCTCGCTCCTGTCTATCAATACCCCTTTCCCCAATTAACCATATCTGACAGACATATAACCTATTCCTTTTGGTAATTGCAAAATTCAAGTATTTCTGTCTAAAAATAGGTACAAATTGGAAAATATTTGTGTATGTCA